ACCGGCCTAGTGCCCGAGCTCCTGCTTCGCCTATCCTCCGTATATCGCCAGGATCGATGTCTATATTACCCCTTGGCCCGCGCTCTTATTCTCCTAAGCCCCTATGTTGCACAATGGGAGCGTGACCCTACCAGCCACAGTTAATGCCCTGTTCTCCACTCATCTTGCGAAACGTCAAATTCATACTTCTGATACGTTATAGCGTTGTATTCACACTGAAGGTAAAAGGGACGTAGAAATACCGTCCTATTGGTGGCACCACATTCCTTTATCAGGGCGCTCCCAAAGAAATTTGAAGAATATCATGGAGCATGAGGACACAGAGTGCTTCTTCCGTGGTAGTTCTATAAGATAGCACATATTTTGATGTGAAATAGAGCTGGGTTAGGAAATAGCCGCTAGAGATCTTGCTCGATTTTGTGGATGCGATTTTATGATACGTCGAATTTTCACCATGTCTTTTTGTAATTGGATTCATGATTTTAGGGTGCTATGGTTGCTGACAAAGTGCCTCTGCCCGATGCCTCATCCGTTGTCTACGAATTTATTTCGAAGGTGTTGATTCGTTTTCTACCAGAATTACTTTTTTACTTTTGAATGCTTTTGCTTGATTTAAACTTTCGCTTGTTCCTTGACTACCTGTATGCTTGTATCTACAGGAAAGAGTTGAAATTCAGGCCATGTCTGTATTCGAGGACGAGATTGCGGAATCTAGAGAACGGATCAGTGCTATGTCACTGATTGCGGGTACTATGTTGGAAATAAAGAATTTGCCATCAGACAGCTGGCACACACTTGCTGGGCAGATTGTGGTCGCCGCCTCGGCTAAAATGTTCAAGAAGGTGAGATTATTTACGATATTAGTAATCTTTCAACTCCGTACTCGTTTACCAAAAAGCAAACCTCTTTTAATAGGCTGATCAAGTACGAACGCTTTGCACTGTGGTGTCGCTGTATTGGAAGGGTCAAACCGCGGACTCTGATGGCACTATGAGGAATGGTGACAAAGTTGTAGAGGTGATGAAGAAGGCTGCGAAGGTCAGCGCACTTGAATTTTTAATTCCAAATACCTATTGTTAGTGTGTAAACATAAGGCAGCGTTCATAATTCGCGATGAAGCGCGTCGAAGCGCTACCACTGCAAGGGCTAAGGAAGCGAACGCAGCAGCAGTCAGGA